CTATAAATAGGTTCCTTATAGAGATGTTCGCTATAGACAGGTTCAAGTATATGAATATCGCTATGTCTTCAACGAAACTTCGTTATAGAGAGGAATTCGTTATAGGGAGGTTTGCTATAGAGAGGTTTGACTGTATATAATATTTTTATAAGGATTGAACAAACGCAAATTAACAACCCATTAAGAGGTCAACTATATAAGCATAGAGAGAATGAGGAAAAGTTGCTCAGAATAAACGATTATACCTAATGCCATCATTAAATTGTGAAGTTTTGGAAATCTTAAACATACCTTTAATTTTCTTATATAATAAGTATTATGCGTTAAAAATCAAACCAATTTTAAGTTTTAAAATATATGTGGAAAAGCAGTTTTAAGTCTTTGTGAAGGAGTTTTTCAATTTTGAAGTAAAAAATCGATTTATTATAATAAATAATAAATTAATAAGTAATTTAATTTAATAAAAAAATGTTTGTGAGTTTTCATCCAATAGTAAAATATTCTACCCTCTATAACTCTATAACCCCTTAAACATGACATGTATTCATATTATATGGACTATTTTATTGTTAAAAAAATTATTTTATTAGAAAAATGATTAATCACATAATGTCAACAGCTCTGAAAACAAGTCACATATCACTGAAGCTTAAACATTTTTTTTATTAATAATATTATTTAGCTACTTTCATCGTCGAAAACTTATCTTCTTTGATACATTATGCTAGCGGTAGTAAAATATCGCTTTGCTTATAAATTAAATCACTCATACGTCATGTTGCCACACTTCAACAGTTTTGCGCACCTGCAAAAAGCCAAATAAAGCTAAAAAAAGCTAAAAAAAAGCTGAGAAAAACACAGTTGTCAATACACTAAATCACCGAATTCTGGTAGAACGCGAATACCGCACCTGGACGGAAATTCTTCGACGACACTTTCGCTCAACGCGCGCCAAACTCTGATTGATTGATTGTATTATCCTTAACTAATCTTCTTCATTTCGATGGTAAAAGGTATAGCATTTATTTTGGCTTGACATGAAGACACAAAATTTATTTAATTTGGCCTTAAACAGATGAACGGGTTCAGACAAACAAGGTTAAATTATTTATATTGTTATTTCAATTTTTATAATTTCAGTTAATTTTTTTGGACTTAAGAATTAATGAATTAAAAAGGAAAACAATAATTAAATACAAAATTTATTTTAATTTTTTAAAATATCTAACCAGATTTTCATCCAATAGTTAAAGAAAATCCTAAAAATAATAAACAATATATAAACAACATTATTTGCAGTCCTTCGCAGTAAATACTGGAGTCTGACAAAGCTACCTTCTCTTTCCCATATACATACCGGCTCTTGATAACATTTTACGAACATCACAGTATAGCCTTTCTGGAATTCAATTACCTTTCCTCTATTAAGGATATACAGATAATGCGTACTTGCTAAATCGTTGTGCTAAATATGTCCACCTCAATATAAACAATCCTTACATAAAAGCTTATAAGGCCGATGTGCAAAAAATCCCTGAAGACTTCATTCAAGCCTTGCGCTACAAACCTCCCCCAATACTTGTCCCACTACTTAGATGAGTGCGACCGTAATCTCTACACCATTCCGCTTTATAACCGCGACTTTCGTGACCCTAGTCTCAAAGTTTATCGCTAGTCTGGCTTAGATGAACCTATTAAGCCTATCTGTTCACATCTCTCTCCCCTGATTACTGGAATGAAGTTTCCTCCATTCTTCTCCATTCATTCCTAAGAGGTGGTTTTAGTGGGTTCAAATCTGTCAAATCACACGGTAGCTTTCGGTGCTTTCCAGCTACTGCAAAAAAAAAAAAACAATGTGAAAGAAAACAACAACAATATAGAAATTGTACAATTCTATTTGTATCTCGACAGCCTCTATGAAAAGAGGCAAATATACTAGAACTAAAAGTCAAGGAACACAAATAACATTGAATCGGGCATACACTGCGAAAATCAAGCTCATACATCTCCAGTTTGGACAAACTCTCGAATGCAATCGTTAAGGTAGTCGATGATTATTATGCGGTCTACTAAAATTCTATCAAGACAGCTAATACAGGTCATTTTTTTATATATATTCTTTTTGCATACATATTTTTGCAGAACGGACTGCAGGCCTCAGTTTTCATAACATTGGACTAGCAGAACATATTTACCTCTTTCTGATTTTTACTAATTGTTTGTCTTGACGCCAGTGTAAAGTTATTACATATATTTAGAAATTTTCCCCAGGTTAGCTGCATAGTCATTCCTATGGACATTTATAGGTAATCAAGAGTGTCAGTAAATGGGAACCCATTTAAAGCTGTCAGAAAACTTGCCTTTTTAGAGAAACTTCTTCCACTATGCAGCTTCATGTAGCAGGATATTTTACATATACATAAATAGTATAAGTAAAAGTTCACTAAAAAATAAACAATATAATTAAATATAATTAGATAAAAAATATAATTAGAAATCCAGACTCATATTTGGTCACTTGAAAATTATGACCAAAAACTGCTTACCATTCCCATTGCAGTTTCATCGTTCTCAAAGACTGTAAGTCCCCATCACATCAATAACAATCACTTGTTACCATGCCACGAATTAATTAATTTGACTTAGGTTAGGTTAGGTGAAATGCAGGGAGCAACGAATCTTTCACAATTTGCTAACATAAGAAAGCCGTTTTGATTCCACAATTCCTTGTAATAATAACTAGAAGAATGGTCATGTTAGAACCAACCAGTAACATTAATAATACGAGTGTCTGGCCAATACTAATACTGGAATTATCTCCGAGTGTCTTAAGGAAAATGATACGCAAAAGCTTAAGTCTGGTTCCGGGCAAGACTGGAGATAAACACAACTTTTGTTCTGGAGTCTTTTCCTCGAGCGTCAGTAGACATGCACTACGAGAAATACTACAGGGTAGCAATTTGACTTTGTTTGACTTAATTAATTTGAGTGCTTAGTACTTAATTTGTAACATTAAGTATATTAATATTACAATATATATAGACAAAGTAGTGTGTTAGGATAGATAAGGCAATGAAAAGAAAGCAAAGATTAAAAAGGAAAAAGATAAGAAGAAAAAAAAAAGATTAGAAAAGAAGCAAAAGAAAAGTTGAGCTAAGAGTTTTTTCGCATGAAGATAATAAATATATCAAAAATAAAGTCATACAATAGATAATTAAATAAAGTTCTATGTAATCGAAATTTTTATAAAAAAAAATTTTTTAATAAATTAAAAGTTGAATATAAATTTAAATAAATTATAAAAAACATTAAGAAATGTTGCATAAATTTTTCGGATTAACCACATATATATATTAATATAATTTAATATATAATTTTATTATTTACAATTGTAATATAATTTTGTATTTTATTCAATGTTTTTTATTTCCAAAAGTCAATACAAATTTATTAAACTAGCATGGCTCACAACCAATTTTGAACTGTTTTATCGACTGAACGTGCTTGTGTGATTTTTTTCTGAGATTACATGAAATCATTTGTGGCAATTAAGATATTTTAACGTTTTTAAATGATATTCTTATTACATATTTTCTTTTAATCTGTTATTATTATTTAAAAAAATACATAATTGTTATGCAGCATGGCAAAACGTACTGAAAAATTATTAAAATTTATTTCAACAAAGCTTTTTCAGTTGTTGACAAGAAATGAAAACCAGATGGCGCAATCTCCAAGTTTAAATTCAACTTTTAGCGCATAAATTTAAATGAACATTTTTAAAATATTTACAAAAAAATATATGAACAGAAGAAATTTTTTAGAATAAATTTGAAAATTATTAAAAACAAATAATTTTTAAATATAGTATATTTTCAAATTTATTTTCAATTAAATGATATTAGTTATAAATTATAGTAAAATTTTTAAGATGATAAGATTGTATGAAGATATACTGTGATGATATGACGCAGAATATATTTAGTATAGTATAAAATAGTATAAAATATTAGTATAAAATAGTACAAAATATAGTATATTTTTAAGACCAGTATATTATAGCATCTTATAGTCGTATACCCAACTCTCGATTTTTTCACGATTTCCAAATAACATTCTTCTCAACGAAAAATAAAAAAATTTTTTTTGTAAAATTGAGTATTTGTTGTAACACAAGTTCTATACAAGTTCTATCTATATTTATTTTAGAAGAACTAAAAAACTACATTTTTTGATAGACATGGCGGGTAAAAAGAACTGCCTATCAGAATTATCAGAAAAGTGAAGATTTTATTTGACACTCAGTAACTTCTGGATTCGATCTAATTCCAGATATATGCTCAGCTGTCATGTTCGAGATCTTTCAAACTTAAGCGGTTAAAAAAAAACAAAAATTAAGTAAGAAACTTCTTAATAAAACAAGCTAACATCAGAAGATATTATTAACGATACAGAATCTTCAATTAATTTAAACTCTAGATATAACTAGACTTACCTAGTTATCAAGAAAACAATATTGATCCAGTGGATCAATGATCCACTTGTTTTAATAAAAATAATTTACTTCTATTAACATATTCATTATTTTAAAGAAGTTTCGAAAAGTAGTGAATTACAACAACAAAAAATTTTTTATATTATTGTCAAATATCTGTCATCAGTTGTCTTGGAATTATTTCTTATATTTAATTATTCGTAAATAATTTTTTTGAGACTGCAAGTACTAGGGGTTGAACTCATGCCCTGCCAAATTTGAAGTTCAGAGTCTGTATTCATTAACCAGCTGCCCCAAAGCGGTACTTGTCTTATATGTTCGCACTTTGGAATTTCGTTAATTAGCTGCAAAAGTTTATTAACAAAATCGGTTGCTGTGTTATATTAAAACGAAATCGTAAACCAGAATAATTAAATTAATTAAAATATGTTTTTATTTTTTAATTATTAAACTCCATTTTTTATTTTATTTTATTTTTTATTTTTTATTTTTATTTTATTTAAATTCATTCAATTCTATTTTCCAATGCATTCATTTCTTGTAAAATTGCTTTAATATTATTAAATTTATTAAGTGAAAAAAATTGCAAGCCATAAACGCCAATATCGCTATCGAATATTTCCGTGATCATTTCTAAAGTCTTCTGTACTGCAAACTCCTGAAATTTTGTTGGATTGTGTCTATGTTGTCTATACTCAGCAACTTGTTCGGAAGACATTGTAACTGCAAAAAAAAAAAATAATAAGAAATGTAATCTTTTTTTTCTAAAAATGTGATTAATAAAGACGACTTCGAAGTCTCCTATGGAATCCCCCAATGCCGCGTCACCCAATTTACCTTTAGTTATCTCCATTAAACGTATTAGGGTACGATAGTTTTCTGGAGAATAAATACCGACGATGATAGGAACGTTGATGTCATTTTCCCGACAATTTTTAATGAAATTAATTATAGTTTCCGCCGAGAAGCAAAGTTGAGTGATTATAAAATCCGCACCTGCATTCACCTATAAAGAAATAAATGTGAAGAGGGGATTTACAAAAATTTTAAATAAAATTAAAATCAAAATAAACAAAGCAAAGTCTGTTGTTTAAATACTAAAAAAATGGTTTCCGGTTTTCTTGGCTGAATTTAGACTAACAACTTCAACTAAAATTGCTCCTTTAGTCGTTTTTTCTCTACTAATTTTTCTGTGTTAAATGAAGAATTAATATTTTTGGTCAAAAGTACCACAGGGGAATTTTTTAGAAATGTTAATATTTAATTTTAATTTTTGTTTTTTTTTTTTTTAATATTTCAAGAGCAAAGCCGCATCAAATGAAGAAAAAGTCATTTGTAGTTTGACTGTTAAGTTTGCTCAGCAAACAAATTGGAACGAGAAATCCAATATTCTATGCTGCGGTTACATGGACTTGGAAATACTGTGGACTTAATTTTTATTTATTTTTTTTATTAATTGTTACATTAAAAGGTGTTAAGTAAATAATAATTACCGGTAATCAATTTTAAAATCGTATAAATTATGTGTCTAATTTATTGCAATTTCATTCGACGACTGTAATTGCAGCTGGAAATAGCGAGAAAATTCTCGTTGTAAACTTATAATTATAATTATCATTAGTAATAATTAAAGTTCATTGCTTCATTCTTTTCTGAGCTTAATTAATAATTATCGTTATTAAGTATTACTACACCGTAAGTTATTTGATTTTATTAGTTTATTTTACTCAGTATTTGTATTATTATAAAAATTACATTGAAAAAAAAAATAAATAAATATTCAGGGGATTCACAGAATTATTTAAAAATTCGTAAATTTTAAATAAACAAAAACTTATATTGTCGGAAAAAAAAATTCAAAATAATTATTCAGAAATAAGATAATTTTCATTATTATAGTAATTTTCTGCACTATTTATTTAAAGTTAATTTTAAAATTCTAAATAAATATTATTATTTCACAGATAACATTATAAATATTTATACTAAATTTATTTTTTTTTTCTTTTTGTTTAAAAATAAATTAATTGAAATATATATGGTGTACAGCTCTTACTGTGACGGAGTGCAATTTTTCTATAAACAAAAAAACCAACACACAAATTTATAAATTCTTAACGATTAACATAATTTCTAGAAATAAAACCTTAATAAAAAATAGTTTATTATTATTTTTTCGGACAACCCAGCTGCCATTAAATCACTATTAGGCACTACAGCCACAACTCTAACAAATCGAGAATGCTCGGCTATATCCAGAAACGTACATGGATTTCAGTACACAGCTCAGCATTTTCGAATTTTTAGAGATGTGACTGTAGTGCATACCTAGAATTTAATGGCAGTTTGAACTGTATCCAGAAACGCAAATGGATTTCTCGACACAGCACAGAATTTTCGAATTTTTAGAAATATGATTGTAGTACCTACCAGGGATTTAAAGACAGCTTGGCTGACTGAAGAAATAAAACTAAACTATTTTATGCAGAAACGCACATGGGTTTCTAGACACAAGAATATCGCGCACAACTGTAGAGCGGACGAGTTTGCAGACATTCTGCTTCCTGATCTTCACTGTTCAGATATTGATGTCCCACTTTCAACAGTTAAATTGGCAATCAAAAAAACATATCTGAGTATAGCAAAGCAAAATTTTGTAGACGTACCCAGTTGTCAGATATCTAGATTTATCTGGTCTAAACTAAACAAAAAACGCACCAACCAGGTGTTGTAACCCAATTCGGAACTACAGTATTGGTTTTGACAAGTCACTGCATAATAGAAAGACATGAAACTGAGTCTACTTTTGTCGAGGTTATGGTTCCGCAGTTGAGGAGGGAACTAATCTCCGCCTCATGTGTCATGTGTATCTTCTTCTTTACGATTTAATAACTTTGGGGACAGTTTTCTTAACGACCTAACCGAGCTATTATGATTTATAATGTATACGATAGTTCAGTTAGTCATACATGAGATTTAAAACTATATCATAAGAAAGTATTTACAGAAAATCACAAATAAATTAATTCTTAAAAATGTCACTATCCTAGTTCAATTAGTCGAGAAACTGCGTTTAACCGAGCAATTTTAGGTTAGTTTTTTTTGAAACCATTTTTATACAAGCTATGGTATATGAAGTTCAATAAAATTAATTTTCTAAAAACAACTAGTGAAATAGAAACTAGTAAATATGAACTACTAGGTTTATTTACCATGGACTCGTGCTTTTAAAGGACCCTAGTATATCATGTCATTCAAGTCTAAGTATTGTATTTACAATTATCGGCTTATATTTAATGATCTGAATTGAACAGTTAATTTATTTATTAAAACTGTAAATCAATATAATCATAATGAATAAATTTGATATTCAACATTGAAGCTCATGTAATTTGTAAGAAATGTTGGAATTATGATTAGAAGAATATTATTTAAAATAATAAATATTAATTCACTTAACAAGTGAGTTTAAAAGGCATAAGTAGCCAAAGTGAGTGACAGATGAATACAAAAAACTTAGAAAATGACTTCAGTATTCATATACTATAACATACTGACCTTTAGAACATATACTATATGTAAATGATTTGATATAGAACTTTAACATTACAAACCATTAACCAATGTTTCTATACTATAAGAGAAGAGAGGAAAATAAAAGCTTCATCAAACTGCAAATTCCACTAGAATAAATTTTTCATTGCTTTATAGAAGCAATTGTTGAGTTAATTTTGAATAGACCACTTATATTGCAGGAAAATACAAAAATATAAAATAAAAAGAAATAAAAAGATATTATTTCCTTAGTCAATTAGAAAGCTACAGGATCTGATATTCACAAAGAATAAATAACATTAGTGTAGCTTATATTAGGTCCCGTAAAAAATTAAATTGCTTGTCTTCAAGAAACTATTGCAAGTATTAAAGCATCGAGTATTGACTTCTTGCACCATAACATACATATCAAGCCGTCAGTTGGTAGTCACTTAATAATTATAATTTCGACTTTAGATATAATAAACATTATTGTATTACATTATGTATAGTAAGATTATGTATATATTGTAGTATCTTATATTTTATATTACAGTAAGATATGATATTAGGAGAGAGTAAGATTTTGCACAATATTTTTGGAAAAAGAAAAGATGTGACCTTATCGCAAAAGTAATCAGTCAGTAATTGATCATTCTCGATTTATAACAAACAAAAATATCATACAACTGTCAAACAATATAATGTTAATAAACATTATAAAACGACTCATTCAATATAAGTCATTTAATGGCAAGGTAAATGTAATCTGTACCAGAAGCCATTATTTCCATATTTTACTTTAGTTATTGTGAGCTGAAATGTTGAGGGAAGCGTTACGCAATCGGGTGTAAGAAGGTCCTTAACGATGCGAGTGACCTTGGCTCATTATTTACCAAATTTCCAAATGTTAAATAATATTATTTTTAATATGTAAAAGGGACAAATTTTTCATATTTAAAAATAGTACTGCTATGATGCATAATAAAGGCAACAATAAAGCACTTTGGAAAATATACAAACTATAAATAGTGCTTTTTGATATTAATTCTTTTTTTCAAATTTGGAGGTTTATATGTTTATATGTTTTAATTTTTATTTTTTTTTTTTTGCCGGAATTTGACTTTGACTACTTCCATATTATTTTTATAAAAATATATAAATTATCTCTGATATTAGAACTTAATTTTTCTCTATAGATAACTTCCAGATGTAACCTTGACTACTTCCATATTTATTTTTATAAAAGTATATAAATTATCTCCGATAATAGAACATAATTTTATCTATAACTTTTATCTATAACTTCCGAATTTAATTTTGACTACTTCCATATTTATTTTTATAAAAATTTATAAATTATCTATGATAATAGAACATAATTTACTCTATAAATAACTTTCAAATTGAACTCTGACTACTCCCATATTATATTTTTATATAATAATATAAATTATTATTTTAAGATCTCCGATAATAGAACATAATTTACTCTATAAATAATTTCCAAATTTAAATTTGACTACTTCCATATTTGTTTTAATAAAAATATATAAATTATCTACGATAATAGAACATTATTTATTCTATAGATAACTTTCAAATTTAACTCTGACTACTCCCATATTATATTTTTATATAATAATATAAATTATTATTTTAAGATCTCCGATAATAGAACATAATTTACTCTATAAATAATTTCCAAATTTAAATTTGACTACTTCCATATTTGTTTTAATAAAAATATATAAATTATCTACGATAATAGAACATTATTTATTCTATAGATAACTTTCAAATTTAACTCTGATTACTTCGATATTTGTTTTTATGAAAATATATAACTTATCTTTGATAGTCGAGCGTACTTTCTCCTATAAATGGTAACACCATAATGTAACTCAGACACTGCTCACATATTATATTATATTATATTATACTTTTATAAAAATATATAAAATCATAATAACTTTACCTTTTCTTTGAGATGCTGTATATCTTCCTCAATTGTTGGACAATCGGGGTGGCCTTCTGGATAGCCCCCAACTCCTATTGATATATTATCTGAAATAGATTATAAAATATTATTTAAAAATATTTTATAAAAAACATATTATATTCAAATGTAATAAAAAAGTCAAATAGTAAAATTCAACGACAATAATTGCTAATCAAATTGTAAACAGACAACGCGAAATCCATTGATAATTTAAGAGATAATGCCGCCGCTACTTACTGTGAAATTGTCAGTATCAAAATTCAAGCACGAGTAATAGAAAAATTGATCAAAACAAATTATAACAAAAAAAAAAAATTAATAAAACAAATACAAAAAAATAATTGTACAAAAAAAATTAATTGTCACAAAAATTAAATAATAATTTTAATTTAAAAAAAATGCACATGCACACATTTCGTATTTAATTTACACTTTAGATATAGAAAAATAACTCACTTCCACGTATTTCTCTTATCTGCGCCACCAACTGAGTCGCATACCGGAATTCTTGATCGCTGCTCACTTGATCCCCACGCAAAGCCAACACATTTGAAAAATTTAAAGCCAAAAAATCTTCCAGACGTTGACGATCGGTGCGGTAGCAGGTGAAATGCGGCAGGACTACGGTTTGTGGAGTTAATTTTCTGGCAAATCGTACAGACTCCACATCTTGTATGGGATCCACACTGTAATAATCTTGACCAAGCCAAATGAGTGATGTGAAAAGTGGCATTAGCAGACCAAAACTGTTGTAATCTAAAGTCAGTGGCTCAGTGTTGTTGTATGGACGAGCTGCCAACTCGATGCCATAGAAAAATTCCTTATTAGCCGTTTTCTCCACAATCAATTCACTCAGTTTTCTTTCCTTGGGTGCGATTTGCATAGAACTAAAAGTTATGTTCACTCCAGGATAGTTACCAGCAGTCTCGTTCAAGCTACCGCCCAAATAGTGAGCACCGGTACCAGTGTTGGTAAGCGTTGGTTGTGTAGACATTGTTGTTTTTAGTTGATTAGTTCAGTACTTTTTATTTTACGCAGACACTGGTTTTTCGTGTTAACTGAATGCGTTGCGGACTTTGAATGAAGTCCCAGCACCTTAACATTTTGCATAAAACTGATCACATAGATAACAGATTGGATCAGCGTGTTGAAGCAAGAGCTTTTCTCGTTCTTAGTATAATTGCTTTTTGTTTGGCTTTTTCTATTTTGCTCTTTCTTTCTCGCGAATTTCGCTTTGACGGTATGCGCGTTGTTCGCGAGCTTTTATTACCAATTTAAGCTTTTAAATATTTGCCAGTTTTTGTTTACAAATTGTCCATTCATAAATAACATTTTTAAGCTCAAAATACTGTCTCTGACGTAGCTTAAAAGAGCTTTTCACCATTTATAATGAGAGGAAAAGATTTTTAAGAAAGTCTATAAGTATTAAAAACTAAACTTAAATCCTAACGTATTCATTTACACAAACAATTTAAGAACAAAAGATCTCTCCAAAAAATTAAGGATCCTCCTACACCACATTAATACCCGTGTAAACTCACTGTTTTCTTATATATCGGGTGTTTTTTTAGCTGCATACTTATAATGATAATGATAATACAAGACAAAAATGTTGTTAAAATAAAAATTTTTTATTATATATATATATATTTGACTATTTCTTGCAATAAATGTGACCGTATGACATCAATAGTGTCATGAACCTTGGCTTCCAATGCTTCAAAAATTACTAATTTATCGGTTGTCAGCATTATCGGTTGACTTAACATATACCATAAAAAGTAATCGAGATACGTTAAATCGCACGAACGAGAGGGCCCATTAACAGGACCACTCCTGGAAATAAAGTTGTTACCAAATTGATTTCGCAATAAATCGATTGTTAAGTGCGCTCTATGAAGATTGCGCCGTCTTGTTAGAACTAAAAACGCCGTCTCGTCGATATTTAACTTATAAATTTTTGGAAACAAAAATTCAGTCAGCATGGCTCAGCAGCTTTTTCCTCAATTCGAAAGAAACAATGCCCTATGATGCCGTCAACGGATAAACTACACCAACCACAGTCAATTTTAATGGATACAATTAGTGCGAAAAAGATCAATAACCTAATTGTTTAAAGACTCACCTGATTATGTTGACCGTAAAATGTAAATTTCCACAATCTAATAAATCAATAAATTTAATAAAGACTATAATCTGGGGTAATTACAAATCAATCAAAACCAACCAGTCGTATTAATAAAGGATCCGGTCCGTAAAATAATATAAAATGTCTCAAACATTTATCAATTTTTAGCTCCAATAACTATACCTCTTCCCTTAATATAAATATAAAATCTTTTAATTCTTAATTAAGATTTTATTTTGTTTTATTCAATTGTCTCTACTATAATACACATCTTCATAATCGCTAGCATTTTTATTTTGATAATCTTTATCACCTCACATCAGAATTAATTTATATACCATCATCTCATTTTAATAGGTTTTTTCTACTTTATACAGCACATAATTAATAACTGAGTTGATTTGATTATGTGTTGTTATAGTCTATCGTGCATGGTTACTTTCTTCGCCTAAGCCCACTTGAGCAAAAATAATGACCAGTTGTGATACCACGGATATCAAGTAGTCATAAATCTCTTGCATTTTTGTTTGAATCAATACTTTCTTCATGGTATTTCATCTCTACTGCCTACTTTTAAATACAAATAGAAGCATTGAGCAACATTTGGTTATCATAGATGAATGCTTTCGGGCGTTTCTGAAGCTACAGTTAATTTACAAACGGTGTTGTCGTTATTGTAAACCATGGAGAAAACATAATATGACAGAAGTTACAATACTCATATATGCCTTAGCAAGTTCCAAGAGTTGCTAAGTCTATGTTCCAAAACCATTGCGATGATCAAACCCCGTGCTCACTGCTTGCAACAACGACCATATAAGTGTACTTAAGCCTCATAAACCTGATATAACTCTAAACAAAAAAGTGTTAATTCTATTGGTACTAATAATAATAATATAGAGTTTGATTAAAATCATTTAGTAATTTCTTTTTTCTCGATATTGCTTTACTTTCTCTCATTTAATAATTTAATATACGTATATGAACTATCCTATCTTTGAATATTTTTTTTGAATTTTATATTATTTTTTAAATTATTACATTAATTTAAATTTGTATAGAACTCCAAAAGATATTGATCTTTTCACTGCATAATTTTAATTTATTATTTTCATGCTCTGAAAGACTACTAAAACTTATAATCGTATTTTACTCCTTTTAGGTACCTTGATCCACTGTTGTTGTAGTTAACCCGCTGGGAGCTGGAAAGCAGATAATATGTAGAGTTTACAAGACGAATACATAGGTTGGGACATGGATAGGTGGTGGTTGGGGGAGAGGGACCCTTGTGCCACTAGATCGGTAAGCTTAAATTAATACCATATCCACAACTTTTTTTCTCATACAAGCTTCCTTAGTTCTAAAAATAATATTCCAAACTTTTTAACACACTTATGGTATAGCTTTATACCAGTCTCTATATGTTAATTAAAATTAAATACAAATTAATATACATTTAAATTTTAGTTATAATTATTTTATTATTAAATATTACTATCTTATTGTTAGTAATTATTTTATTACAAATACAATTTCATTTCGTTTGGCAATAAACTACAATATTTTTAATGCATTCCGAAATGCATTTTATATTTAAACTTTTATTTAATGGACAACATATCTTTTTTTAATCAATGATTAATGATGAAAACGCATATTAAAATTAATATACAAATAATTGCTCTTTAACGTATATACCTTTAGTATTTATAAACAATTCGAAATAAATATTGTATATGAAAAATTCGCTAATATTGGATATAAATTGAATCATTTAAATTTAATCATTTAAATTTAATCATTTAATTTTAATAATTTAAATTTAATAATTTTAATTTAATATTTAAAATTTAATCATTTTAATTTAATAATTTAAATTTAATTATTTTAATTTAACAATTTTTAATAAAAAGAATTCAAACTAAATTCTTGTTTATAAAACTCGTTTCGAATAAAGCTGATTATGTGTTAAATGGAAGAAAATAATATTTGTTTAAAACAACTTTAATACGAGTCTTAAGGCTAATAGATATTTTTTAAAAATATTTAACACTAGAGCTACCACAAAAATTCTGCTTATGGTATAAGTGTTACATGCTGTACAATAATTTATCTTTACAATCTTAACAATTACAAAGATTTTGTTTTTGTAAACGTTTCTTATTATTAGTTTACAATTATTTTGTATATGTTTATTCCATGATTATAAATATCATAGATAATTTGGCTTAAAAGAAACTTTAATATTTTATTTAAAAACATAACATTACACATATTTTACTACTTATGAGCACAATCGTATTAAAAACTTAATTTGAAGATTATTTAAATTTAAAAGCTGCTTTAAAATGATTAAAACAAAGAACTTATTTTTAAATTTTATTACAATATATAGTTAAAAATGTTTAAAAAAATTGTTGTCACTGTTTTAATTTTTATTTGTTATAGTTTTATGCATTGAATAAAATAATAGAAATAATTTTAAAGGAAATATTAAAAAATTATCTAACTTAAATAATGAAATTAAAATTAATATATATTTAAACTATGTTGATTTATATGCTTAATTGTTATTCATATTAAATTTATACCAAGCAGTTTATAAAAAATATATATACTTAAATTACTATAAACTATGAGAGTCTGAATTTGTCTGTCATTTCTTTTTGATTCTCTGCACAATCCATTCCAGTCCTTGATATAATCTGAAATTAAATAATTTCATTTAATAAATATTTTAATGTTTTTGACAATTTTATATAATTTAATATTTACGGATAATAATATATGAAATTAATCAATTTTAAATTCTATATGCAAATATCTCTTATTAGAGAAAGGATACAAATAATTCGTTTATATTAAATTTAAACTTGAAAATAAATAATACAATAATAACATTATCAGTTGTTGGACGTAAGTTCAATTTCCTGGTCACACCGGGATAACAATGGAGTTTAGTAGTCAACTATTTTGAGTAATTTTTTCTACTATGCCATATACCGATACCGATTACTACCCGTGATATTGAAGTTTAAACTTTTAATCTAAAGTTGGAACATTGATTGCGATCACAAAAGAAACAAAAAACACGCCATTTAGCGCTAATTACTATATACAATTTTAAATCATGCTTCTAAAAACCGCCAAGTCTACTTCCCGAAGCCACTCCTCAATCATTACGACCAATTCCAGTTCACCACTGCAGAAAGGAATTTTACAAACAGGTATGTGTTTGTATTTGACGCAGGTTATAACAAATTTGTATTATTAAATAAAAAGCGAATGGAGATACTGGATCCGCTTCTTGACTATAGCAGGATAGAAGCAAAATGGGTGCATATTTTACATTACTTTTTAGAAAATATGCAAATGTCAATGTCGTTAAATGTTATCTTTGAAAAGTCTAATTAATAGCAACGTATATGTTAAAAAATCCAGTGATTAATTTGAGTTCACATTACTTTAACTTAAGCAATCTCTCAATAATTATATTGCTGACTTAGTTCAGTCGTTTGAATTGCCTTAAGGTTTGGTATTAATCTATCTCTCCTAAAATTTTCTATATATATGATGTTTTCATGTCTGATACCTCGTGGATACCTCGCAAAAAGATTTGAGTTCTTTAAACAAAGATATACACTTCTTTGTAAGCTCATCAATTGTCTTATTAGCATCAAATCTATTAAGATCAATTATCCGAAGCTTCCGAAATGATATATGCAGTAAATAATAATTTATATTTGATGTTTATAAATACTACAGAGTCTGTCAAGAAGATAATCCTTAGAAAGGTTTGAATTTTATGACCGACATTAGGCCACCCTGATTCGTAAGCTTGTCAGCAACGTTTGTTGTTGCGGAGTCCCTTATTCCGGATCATCCAAAAGAATATAAATATATAAAATTATTTTGGATAGATAAAGTACACTTAGTGAACATATGCAACATACTTAGATTAATAATTGATTATACTTTACGGGCAGCATAAATAATTTTTATCATAAATACTGAAATGGTTAGGCGATCCTACGTGGTTTCTACTTCTATTTACTTTGCCCTCTACAACTAGTTGATCTATATTACAGACTGAAGGATTGGAGGATGTTAAAGTATATCGTCAATTATTAATAAATCGCAGTTCTTGTTATTAAATAAGATGCGTAAATGATAATGTCTAAAAAAAAGATCAAGTGGCATTTATATAATGGTAAACTGATTTATTTTAAAACATAACTGTTTTATTATTAATACAGACTTTTACTCTTGAAATGCACATTATGTAATGTACGATCTTGCACTGTGTATATTGTTTGGGTGATCGTTTTTTCGAGCAAATATTCCAATTGATACAACCAACGAGATGGCGATCTTCCACTTTGTCTACTTTCGTTCACTTATCTCTCTATATTCAGTTGATAAAACATGATCGAACTAATCAAGTCTGCATAGACATTAAAAATTGAAACACAGAGATAGATTTTAGTTTTGTGAGCACTCCCTGGAACTTTTAATACTCTTCGATATAACCTTAATTCAAAGTCTTGGATATTCTAAGTATCTAATAGAGAATAATTTACATTTGAATTGTATCTGTAATAATTGGATGCTATAACTTTGTAAATTTGGATCGAACTAAGTCAGATATGCATTGGCATTGGAAATTCAAACACAGAGATAGATTTTAGTTTTGTGAACACTCAATGGAACTCTTAAATCTCTTCGATTTAACTACAATTTAAAGGTTTGAAAATTATAAAAGTATGTAATTTAGAGTAGTCCACATTTCAGCTGCATCTGCAGTTATTGGAGATATTTTTACTGTGGATATACTGATGGTTCTATCTTTCCATATATTTTGCGTGTCTTGTGCTGGCAAATTCCAATATTTAATTTTTTTTGAACATTCAAAAAGCAATACAAAAAAGGATTTATTAAAGTGACGGTATCTACTACACTGGGAACTTTAAACACATTGTAATCTATGTTATTGTTAACGACTTAAAAAGAACAATAATATTTAAATAATGAGAATTGTTTAGAGTATCTTCAAATACTCAATCCTCCTTTCATACTATACACTAAATCAAAAATAAATATTTTTGTTTTTACTATTTTCAATAAAGTGTAAACTGCAATTCTATTTCCTAAAAATGCCAAATGACGTCAATATAATTTTATATTTGATTTGACACTCAATTGTAATTAAGTGGATTTTGTGGCAGGTACTTGAGAATCATTTTAGTATACAAATATTTCAATGCCCACATAATTTAAATTAATTTTAATTAAAAGCAATACACATACCCATCACCAGTCAACGCACAGCAGGCTTGTATGTGCCACTGGTGTTTTTTAATTGAAGTTAAATCTAATTGACGTGATATTTCCGCAGCCGACATTGAGCCTTTTAAATCCTACAATTTATGTTAAAAAAAAAATATTTAGTTACATGATTTAAAAAAATTATAATGAACTAACCTGTTTGTTAGCGTAAACTAATAGACTTGCTTTACTTAAGTCTTCATGTTGCAACATGCGATAAAGTTCTTCTCGAGTCACAGCCAAACGTTCTCGATCCGTCGAATCAATAACCATGATTATGAACTAAGCATAAAATAATAAAAAGTAATAAAATTTTAATTAATTATATTTAATTAATATATTTTATATTTTAATATACTTCTGTATTTGTGTAATATGTACTCCATGCTGCACGTAAACTTTGTTGACCACCGAGATCCCATACCAAAAAGTGTATATTTCGCCATACAATCTCTTCAACGTTTGAACCAATTGTGGGACTTGTATGCACTACTTCATTCATTAAAAACTGATAGAGTATTGTAGTCTTCCCCGCATTATCCAAACCGACCATAACTAACTTATGCTCTGTAAAGAAAATTCATTGATTATTATTTATTGATAGCGTAAATATATATTTTATAAAAATTTAACTATACAACATCAATATATATACATTATATATGCATATATATAACAGTAAGTAATTATATATGTTATAAACCGTAAAATTAAGAGTAGAACTTTTGATAAGATAAAATTTATTTATCAAAAGACAGCTTTCATAGTTACCAAGTGTGTAAGATTGTTATCAACAATTTTGTAATGGGGTTTTGATTCAAGTGCGGCAAATACAGAAATAATTTATAAAGGGAAAATATTTACACTCCATAAATAATTTTAATATACATTCTTAATATATGAAGGTGAAAATATGATTAAAAGATTAAAGATTGAAAAACTTTTATTCTAATAAATGCAAAATAGAAAACTTATTTTAAACGACTAAATTCAACTCTGGAGTTTGATTCAGAGAGGAACATTAACAGAACAAAGAAAAGTCATTAAAATGCTTTTCAGTGTATTGTTGACTTTATTATTGTAACTATTGACACATCTTGATCCATGAGATTTATTGTGGCATATCTTAAAAATACTACTTATTTAATTGGATACAAAACCCAACGATCTCGTTAAATCTGCCGTCGAGTTATAGCTATGCCTAACACCATAAAATTGTCATCATGTTTGAGATCGACTAATTCTTTCCCAGACTTTCTTTAATTTCTGAGAAAGTCTGATTAGTTCGTTATTTTTTACGAATTCTGTTCAATTCTGATGTTTATATTCTATAGTTTTATATTGTTTTAGTCAGGTGATAGGTAACAGTGTATTGCTAAACTGCCTTAGATTAACTTAGTCCGCTAGATATGAAGCCTATCTGCTCACATCTCTCTCCCTTAATTACTGCAATGAAGTTTACGCATTTACACAAGTTTACACCTCATTCCTAAGAGGTGATTTTAGTGGTTTCATATCTCACACTGTGGCTTTCGATGCTTTTCACCTACCGGAAAAAATTCTTAGCTAACAATAACCTAGCATTGTTATTGAGGTGGCCTGCATGTTTCGATTTTTTGGGGACGACAATTGTGTTTGGTCATCGTTGATGAGTGAATGTGTAAAACATACACCTAGCTAACGAATTATTTTTTTTGACTTATTTTTGATATTTATTTTATTCTTATTTTTTTTTTTTTATTTTTTTTTATTTTTTTTTATTTTTTTTTTATTTTTTTTTATTTTTTTTATTTTTTTTTTCTTCATTTTTTTTTCTTCATCTTATTTCTTTTCATCATCTTATTATTTTTCTTCATCTTATTTTTATTCTTCATCTTAGTTTTATTCTTCATCTTATATTTATTCTTCATCTTATTTTTATTCTTCATCTTATTTTTATTCTTCATCTTATTTTTATTCTTCATCTTATTTGTATTCTTCATCTTACTTTTATTCTTCATGTTATTTTTATTCTTCATCTTATTTTTATTCTTCATCTTATTTTTATTCTTCATCTTATTTTTATTCTTCATCTTATTTTTATTCTTCATCTTATATTTATTCTTCATCTTATTTTTATTCTTCATCTTATTTTTATTCTTCATCTTATTTTTATTCTTCATCTTATTTGTATTCTTCATCTTACTTTTATTCTTCATGTTATTTTTATTCTTCATCTTATTTTTATTCTTCATCTTATTTTTATTCTTCATCTTATATTTATTCTTCAATTTATTTTTTTTGTGGTTCTAATTTTTCTTTTTCATCTTATTTTCTTGTGGTTCTAATTTTTCTTTTTCATCTTATTTTTTTGTGGTTCTTCTTTTTTCTTCACGTTTTCTTAGGAACGTTCATAGGAACGAAGACATATTTTGATTCATTATTATTGTATTTGATTTCTTTTAACTTTCATCAGAACAGGGAAGTTATCCATGGCATGGGGGCCAATTATAAACGATAATAGTATAGATAATAGACAATATATAATAGAATATTTTTGATAGTAATAATAATAATAAAAGGTATTCGTGAAAATTGCCCAACAGCCGGTACTGCGGCCAGAAGAGACCTATTGTACCAGTTTCACTATTGATTAAACAAAGCCCCTTAAAGCTTTGTGAATAAAGTCTAGAACTAAATGTAGAGAAGAGTTCTTAATCTGTTCTGGTGACAGAAATTCCTTATGAAACAGGTTTCTTCTGTGCGTTATTAAAGCTGGACAGTCACAAAGAATGTGCATGGTTGTTTCCTCATCTTCGAGGCATAATCTGCATTCCGAGTTAGCAGATAATTGTAGTTTATGAAGGTGATATTTCAGACCATAATGACCTGTAATGAAACCCGTTATCATCCTTAAATTACATTTTGAGAATTTAAGAATGTTTTTGTAGGAGTAAGGTGTTATCAGTGCTTTGCTTTGTCTGAGTCCTGGAAAGTTTACCCAGTACTCTAGCCGCATATGATTTTCCATTTCCTTGATAATCTGTTTTGTACTAGCCCAGTTTATTCCACAAAAGGGTTGAGGGCCTATAAAAGCAGTTTCTGATGCAGTTCTGGCAAGCTCATCAGCTTTTTCATTTCCCAAAACTCCTCTGTGGCCCGGAACCCAGTAAAGGTTTACCTTATTCCGAGCTGCAAGTGATTGCAGAAGATCGTAACACTCAAGGACCTGTTTTGATTTGAAAGTCCAAGAAGAAAGAGCTTTAAGAGCAGCCTGGCTGTCAGAGTAAATAACAATTTTCGAGCCAGAAGGTTTTTTGATTAAATTGGATCTTACACATAAGTTGATTGCGTGGATTTCAGCTTGGAAGACACTCGGCCATGTGCCCATTGCTTCCGAAATGCTGGTGTTGGGTCCAAATACACCAGCGCCAGTGCCTTCATCCATCTTTGATCCATCTGTGTACCAAACCAAACTTTTTGGGTCAACCTGTGGGCCTCCATTCTCCCACGTTGAACGTGATGGTAGGTGTACCTCAAATTTTTTGCCAAAACGATGGAGTTCTGTTGTATAGTCTCCATCGCATTGAGGAATTTTATGTGCTCCAAATATTTTTAATATTGTTGTATGACCATAGTCAAGACAACTCTTGTTCATGTGGAGTTTTAGTCGAAGCGCACTAAGCGCAGCCGTAGATTGAATGTGTATGTGCAGAGGTGTCAATCCAAGTATAGCCTCAAGTGCTGCAGTTGGACTTGTCCTCATAGCACCAGTCATTAAGAGACACGCTAATCTCTGGAGCTTCATGCAAACAGCAATAGATCCAGCCTGTGTGACCTTTTGCCACCAAACCAGGCAACCATATGTCATGATAGGACGTACTACTGCCTGATATATCCAAAATATAATCTTTGGGTTTAGGCCCCAAGTTTTACCTATACAGGACCGTATTGTCCATAAAGCCGTTAATGCTTTGTTGTATACTTTATTTAAGTGTGAACTCCAAGTGAGTTTACCATCTAGGACAACACCTAGGTACTTTGTTTCACTGGAAAGAGAAATATTAGTGTTTCCTAAACGTACGGGACCTATGTCTAGTTTACGTTTGAGTGTGAAAGGCACAACAACAGTTTTCTCCGGATTTATGGAGAGACCCTCACTTTCGCACCACGCTAAAATGCGTCGAAGGTGCCCTACCAAGATCTCTGATAGACTGCTACCATGCTTTCCAGATACTATTATAACTAGATCGTCTGCATACCAAATGGCGTCACAACCAATATTCTCCAACAAGATTAAAAGTTCATCAACAACCACTGACCAGAGCAAAGGAGACAGTACTCCACCCTGTGGGCAACCTTTTGCGGCCTCAACAGCTACAGACGTTCTACCTAAGGTTGATGTAATTTTTCTGCTTTGAAGCATCGCCTCAATCCAGGAAATAACATTAAAATCAACATTTCTGTTAGTTAAGGCATTCGAGATCGAGCCATAACTCGTATTGTCGAAAGCTCCTTCAATATCCAGAAATGCACAAAGCGCAATTTCTTTGTTTTTGTGGGCCTTTTCAATTCTACTGACCAAGTTATGTAAGGCCAATTCGGTAGATTTCCCTTTGGAATAAGCGAATTGAGTTTTGTGAAGAGGTTGACTTTTAGACAGTTCTGTACGAATATAGATATCTATGAGTCTTTCCATAGTTTTCAGGAGGAAGGATGAGAGACTAATCGGTCTGTACGATTTAGCGTCATCACTTGGTCTATTACCATTTTTTGGTATAAATACCACTTTCACTTCTCTCCAAGCTTTTTGATAGTAGAAGTGGACGTCTTTTTTGAATCTTAAAATACGCATTATTGATTTCAAATTTTTAGAGATAAATAAAGACGCTAAAACCATTTCAAGTATTTTTTAATGACTTGAAATAAAAATGAGAAGAAAATGTGATTTTTTTTCTTCTCATTATTAGTTTATCTAATAAAATTTGACACTTCTGCTATTTGCCTCTTGACCAATGGTATTTGCAGAATGTTAATTGACTTATTTAATTTGTCAGAGCTCTTAACTCTATGCATTTCATAATTACTTTTCACACTTCAAATATCTTTAGTAATATTGTTGAAGTATGCCATTTGGAAATATGTTGAAATGTGCAGCATTGTCAATTGAACTTTCCGGAAAGTGTCAGTAACTTCGAATTTTTACACATACTCAACTCGTATGTGCAGTTTTGCACGTTTACTGGTTGCGATATTCGCATATGGACGAAATGTATCTGCACAGATACACTCATATGACGGACATAACATAAATAAGTGTTGCGTGTGCAGCATTTGAATTATTGAAAATATATTCAATTGACGAGAGAACATTTTTGTAAAGTAACTACAATTTCAATGGATCTACATATAGAAACCACTTCATAAATAGTTGAAAGTAAAATCCACTTTAAAAAGTAGTTTACTTCACATTTATTAGATACTTTGATATTATGATTGAAGTGGCTGAAGAGATAAAAAAATCTAAAGTCCAAAAATATCATATTTTTTTTCAAATCATATTTTTTTTATTTTTATTTATAATATTT